AGAAAGTTGGACGAGACCAGCTAGTCAGATTATTGTTAAACCATGACCCAACCCTTGACCAATTCGATAATACGCCTAACCCTATTTACTCCAAAAAAAAAGCCAAAACCGTCCACCAAACTAGTCTAACCCAAGAACTAATGAATTGGTCTTCGGTAACTTTTTTGCTACCTATGTGTTTTAAAGTATTGAAGGCACCTTACCCTACTATTTTTGCCATAAAACATCATTTTAGCGAGTTGAAAAATTTCGCTCTTGGACCTGGATTTTGTGTTTAAGCCTTGACCGAGGCTCGGGCCCTCATTAGAGCCCCAAATTTTAGGGTTGGGCACATATATTTACCTATATGTACATTATAGATAATATAATGTTATTTTATATTATATAGAAATAGGGCATTGAATGGGTCAGGTTCAACCAAACGAACCCAATGTTCATGAACTGATTAGGTTGGTTATGGTTCTAGGAATTGGAACTGATGAGTTGACTCTGGTTCCGGATATATTGTTCCGATTATTATCGATTTGGAACTAGTTCCACCTAGTCCTAAACCGATTCAAACCCGACCCAACAGTCAGATTTCTTCTCTTCTCCCCTCTTAGTGAAACCTTTTTGTGTTGTGACATTATCTTATTCAGATCATAGTGACCAAAATCTAATGTTCATTTTATAACACCAATGACCAACCATCCCCATTGACCTTTATTCACTAATGACATAGAGACAACAAACACACTACAACCAAAGGCATGGGCCATGACATATTTGGTGTTTCATTTTTCATCTAAAAAAGCAAATGCCATGCCACAAGTAATGAAAGCTAGGGGTACTCAAATTTGGTTACCGAAATGAAAACAAATCGGACCAAACTAAATAAGCAAATTTAGTTTGATTTATTTGATTATTGGTTTATAGGATCTCTAGTCATTGTAGCAAAGACCTAGGATCAAATTCCGTTGCCACTAGGGTTGGGGGATATGGTACATCCCGTTGTGTAGCCCCTTGAAGCATATATATATATATAAGTTTATAAATAGTGATATATATTATTATACGTATTAAAAGGTTTGATGAGTCATGATCAAAAGTTTATTACATTTCATTTGTTTGATTATTTTGTGGTTGGGTTTAAATTACAAGGGGTTTTCACACTGTAAATGTTAGAGATGGTAAAGGAGCAATTCCATGACGATCTGATTGTGTCCATATCATGTTAGACAGAGGAGCTGTTGTATGTTCTTTGATGGGTGGATGTGGGTAATAAACCCCTTGCAAAGTATACTTTTTTCCATAGTTTCAATAGTTGCTTCTGTAATATTGATCATGTCCTAATTGCAGCTTCATTTGGTGGCTCGAGGGGGCTCTTTGGATTGTTTGCGTGAGTTGCTTTCATGGGTTGCAATCAGCTTCAAAGAGATTCTTCTGGGTAAGAATATATGTAACTCATGGAAAAGATATAGTGAACGATGACGTTTGATCTCAAATTATTCCCTGGCTAACTGTAGCTAAATTATAGTTTAAGTTGTCAACATTGGTGAAATAATTATTTTCTTTTCATCCCCTTCGTGTGATCAATAATTAGATCTGTTTAGTACAAGATGTATCTATCTTGCAGAAACATATGGATGTTGTAGACTTATGATATTTCCATGATTGTAACTATGAACTTCTTTCCTCTGATTATTGGCATCTAGGACTCTAATCGGAAATGAGTATTGTGTTYCAGTGAGGTTTTAATTTTTATTGAATTTTGTTTTTGGTTCAATTGGATATAGCCTATAGGGGATTCTCTGTTACTTGAATTTTTATTTTTTCAACTTTTATTGGATATAGCCTATAGGGGATTCTTTGGTCCCATAACGATGAGCATGTTCTTTGATTGGTTATTTCCTTCCTATGTTAGGTAAATGCCATTATAGACCATCTTTAGTGACGTATCTTAAAATGACACCATGAAACACTACTACATAAGGTTGTTTGTATCATAGTCAGATTCAGGCTGCTATAACCCATCTTCAGGTGGTTTGGATCCAAAACTAGAACAAGTTCTCTTGACAAGTGTCAAGTAATGTACACCCAGAAATTTTACTGGTCACTGGCTCAATTGTTCAGTCCAGATTGAATGGTTGGTTAAAGTGTGGGCCCAATGCAAGTATTGTAAAGGTGCTTTTGTGTGGCCTCCTTCTGTTGAATCCAGTTGGTGGGCTCTTTTTTGGTGGGATGGACCTGCTTGTAGTACTCTCTTCTCTTCTCTATATTTTTTTGTGTATGGGTTCATTAACTAGTACATAAAATAACTAAAGGTGCAAATAGACCAGGATAGGGTCATAAGGGTCTAAATGATTAGCTTGTTGAAGGCCTAATTAGAGCCCAATCCTAGGGACAGCAGGAGGTGGGCCAGGTTGCAAAATGGTGATGAAATATTTAGTGGAGTAGATTCAGTACCAACCAAACAGACATGATGTGTCATGTTTGTTGGCAGAAACTAGCAATTTCTGTAACTTTGCTTTCTACTTGAACAAAAACATAAAAGGGCACAAGTGCTTTCAAGAACAGATATTTTGTTTGGGGCCTTTCCCTTCTTGAATTAAAACTTCACTGATTTGTTTACCACAAGTCAAAAATTTATATCTTTTCCTTAAAACATCACAAGAAATGAGAGCTTCAGTTCACTACAAGAAAATGGGGCTATAGCTACATACTTTAACTACTGTCAAAAAAACTGTAGCTAAAACATGGGATATATCCACGGACAATTTGATGTCCGTGGCAAAAGGTTGAGCTTTAGCTACGGACAATTTGTTCGTGGTTAAAGTTATTCTATCCGTAGCTAAAGGATATTTATAACCACGGTTATAATGTATTTGTAGCTATAAGTTACAAAAGCAGAAATTGACTTCTAGCTACGGTCATTTTGTTCGTGGCTAAAGAGCTATTTATCACTATAGCCACGGATAACTAAAATTCCGTGGCTATAACTAAGAAGTTAATTATCTTTAGCTACAATCATTTTATTCCTAGCTCATAAATAATAATCATATAATATTCATTTAAAATATTTGTTATTTATTAATTACTTTTTATAGTAAATTAATAATTAAGAATTTATTAAAGTAAATGAATATAATCAATAATTAACAAATTATAAGCTCATTA